CCTCACACATCCCTTGTTCCGCGGAGCCTCCAGCAAGGACACAAATAGGCCCTTTAATGCATGCAGAACAAACAAATAGGAGCATCATCAGCAGTGCTAAGGGCTTCGAACCTCTGTCAAAAAGTGTGACGATCACAGCAGCGAACTCAACATGCTAACAAACCACAAAGGACTCAGGAGGACTTGTATTTGCTTCGATTTAGTCACTCAATCTAAAAAAAAGTATGAAAACCATCACTGACAACAAGTTGGGGCAACTTGTCACTGGAGGAGAAACACAAAATAAGTCCAATAAGTTAAAAGCAGCAACCTGAGAAGACGAGTTGACTGTTTATTTTTGTTCGGTGCAGCCTCTTCTATCGACAGTGGTATTTTAATCATGTATTATTATTATGTATTATTATGCTATTCTGGATCCTATGTCACTCATCTGAACACTGTGTTATATGTTCATCTGATTGTTATTCCTTCCATAAATATATTATCCATTTTAAGAATTTGTGAATTTCCCTCTGGGACTAATAAAGTACATTCACTCATTCACTGGTTGAAGTCACATGCTGAAACTAACTGGATGATGCTTGCTGAAACTTCAGATTGACTAGAATCATCGTTTTGTTTTAGCATACCACAATGATTTAATGCGGCCTTGTGACATAAAATTTTGCCGCACCACTTTGAAGATTGACTAACTTGGTCAGAAATGGTCTCTCTTCCCAGGCTTATTAGCAGACACAAATTTAAAAATCAAGTGGAAATAAATGTTTCTTTTTACCTTTTCATTCCAATTGAAAAAAGTACCCTTTTCACACTTTTCAATCAAAGTAATTACTGATGTTATAACAACTTAAGGATGTATTTTTTCCATATATATTTTCACCTAAATACTTCCTGTGCCTTCCCTTCTTTCTCCTCTCATCATTACCCCAACAGAGGTTCTCTATCCTCCCTCTCTCTCACCCTCATGTTGGAGATAAATTTAATCTAACTTTGTCAGCCCTAATGAAAGAAACCACATATCTCATTTAGCGTGTGTGTGTGGGAGGTTAAGGTAGGACCTTCGGGAGGATAACAAAACAACACGGTATTCATTTTATGCACATCTCTCATCCCCCTATTGCTTTGATTGGAATGTATTTTAGTCAACAGGGATTATTTTGATGAAAAAAAACAAAAAAAATAAATCACAGATCAACTCCAGAAATCGGACTCCCTTTTCCGCTCCCACGTGAGAAAACCGTAGATAAACAGTTGTGCATTAAAAAATTTTTTAAACCACACGGAGAATTCTGTTCATCGCTTATGTTTCTTTTTTTATTTTATATTTTTTTTTGTCTTTTCTTATGCAACAGAACACCGAAGGATTAAATTAACTTTAGGTTTCAGTGGGAATTTAATCTGATCGGTGTATCTCAGGCAAACAATTTGTAGATAAGCTACATCATCTGCTTTTCGCCATAAACAGCTGCAACCACACCATCTGTGTCCTGACAGCTTGGATCCCAATGGTGAGCTAAGGGTTGTTTAAAGCTGAAAAATCCTAAGAAGCAGGTGGCATGAGTTCAACAGTAATCAAGAGCTAATCTTTTATTTGTCTCAATGTTAAATGCTTCTTCAAGTTTGATGAACACTAGCTGCAAAGAGGCAGTTTAGCTTCATTGAGGCTAAAGAAATGCAAAAACTTGCAAACAGAGAAAGAAGAGAAATATTAAAGCTTATAATAATATTCTATCAGGCTGCGCTACAGTCAAACAATAATGTGAATTGTTACAAAAAACATCATAATACAGCTACAGTGCTTTGTACAATCTATGTATGACCACTATTGTAACGCGGAATGAGAATTCCAAATGCTTTCAGTTTTTAGACATAAAAAAATGATTTTTGATTTTTTTTTTTTTTTTTTTTTTATTATTTAAACTAGTGTTTTATTTGGTTGTTTGAACATGCAAGAATAGCTTTAGCTTTAGGAACTAATTCAATCTCATTTCCAAGTTCTCAGAACAAGCTGTGGTTCTTGAACTTATATGTTCACGCTGCACTTTTGTGGAGAAGAAGAAAAAAAAATTTCAGTTTTAAGAAGTGTAACAGTGGTAGCTACGTACTCCTAAATGCTGATGGGGTAATATTGTTGTATGAAGTATTTCCGGTGGGATGTGTAAAAATGCTCAACACATTCTTAAAATCTTCATTCTGTTAGCAAAAATCAAAAGCCATGATTCATTACACTACCACTTCAATGTTCCGTGCCATTTTGGCTTAGTTTATTGTAAAATGTCACCATAAAACATGCATATGTTTGTTGCTGCAAGACATGACCTGCAAGTGAAAAAAGGTCAGAGTATTTTCACTTTTGCAGTTCACTTTCGAGTGATTTGGCTGAGCTCTTTATTTGTCTCATGTGCCTTGAAAGCCACCTGCACTTTTATTGGATGAGGATTCCTCTAAAAACCAGTAAATCACTAATTTTCTCCTTTGTCTCATATTTACCCCACAGAGATTTGTGTATTTCCCCCCCTCTGCACCCATTCTATATCCCTGACCCCTGCCACAGTCAGTAAAGTTCTGATGGGAAGCTACATAACACTGCATTGTCTGATCAGGTGTTGTTGAGTAAGCGAGTTTGCCGGCCTGATCTCTTGGGGTCAGCTTAATCCTATCCTGTGCTGGATGTCTCCTTGTAACCCGGTCTGCTGTCCGCCAGCCGGGGCCTACGTTTGTGTTCCAACACTCGACTGGTCCCTCGGATGCTTACTCCTACGACATACTACTGCACCTCTCCATGCCAAACAGCTGCAAGATGTCTAGGTTAGCACAATGTTTGCATGCTCTGGTTTTGTAATGACTCAGCTAACAGTTTTTGTTGCCCTTTTGAGGTTTTGACGATGCAAGGCGTTTCAGCAGTCTCTGCAAACATTTTTATGTAAATAATCCGCGTCAAAACAAAGCGGTGGTGTCGACGCAGACGTTATAGTCCGATACGCCCGCCCAATTCGAGCCAGAGTCCGCCTTGAGCAAATCAAGAAGTGGGTTATTGATAAATTGCTATACATTTTGTATGTATAGCCTTCAAAGGGCCCTTTCTTAAAGTACGGCGATCGCACCGGTCCTCTGGTGGAGGTTGACGAGAAGGACAGAAGCATCTGAAATAAGGCCGGCGTTGTGCTTTGGCACTGATCTCGTTCCATCACAGATTTGTGTTAGGCTTGCAGCAGGTTTCATGGCCGTCCTTACAGTTGTGGAAGCCTGTTGCTTTATGGGAGTAGTAAATATGAGGGAGATTTTTTTTCTTCTTCTTCTTTTAAACATCAGGAGAGCACATTTCTGATGGGACACTAATATGACAGGTTAAACTCTGCTACTTAAAATGTACGACTCTGTAACTACATTACAACTACAGCAAACAACTACAACTCTGTAGCTGCTTGTTGCGTAAGAGAATACATTACCATATTTCCACTCTCAGAAGAAGCTTGTGCAGCAACAAAATATCCCTTAACCTGATTTCACTTTAGCGTTCTTTCATTAATTTACGTTCCATTAGAAGTTAACCAGGTGCCGTGCTCTACCTGGTACTCTTGGTAAAAATAATAACACATAAACTGTTCATCAGTGAAATAATAAGTATTTAATGTTTTCTAACATTAAATAAGTCAATCAGGTACACAAACATGTGGACGACCTGTAGGAAAGAGAGCAGAGGAAAAGACCCAGGTTGATTTGAAGAAATTGTGGAAAGACATAGTGTCAAAGATTCCTTGATTTTTACAAAATAGGACTGTGCACTAAATTAAATGTGACGCTCTGTTTATCAATTTTAGCACCAGTGTCTCTTGCCCGATGCAAGTTTTACACTTTTCAAAGCTGAACCCACAAACGGAGGATGTGACGGTCATTATGTATACATGTCAGCGCAAGTGGAGATGACACATGAGGAAAGGATGAGTGGCAGCAGCATCATTTGTTAATTTAACATGGAATTGTCTTTTATTGGCTCTGTTACCTATTAAGTATTTATACATTCATATTAAAAAAAAAGACAATGAAACTTCCTGAAACGTAGTCCACTAAATCAGTTCATGACACATTTTTGAGAACTTGCAAAAATTTGGTAACGAATCATTAATTATGCCAATAATAAGGTTCGATATTACATGATAAAATATATTTGTGAAAAGTCATCAGGATTTTAATTCAACAGCATTTCTGAATGCAGCCTAGGAGTCTTCTCTGGAGTCTTTTCTTTCAAAAATAAACTTCAAATGCAATTTACATAGACAGAAAATAGACACATGAGCTATAGCTGCAGCGTATTGCACTGAACCATTTTTCATCCTTTATCCCATGCACAATTGGGAATCTAAATCCACTCCAAGGATCTCTCAGTATAGCTGTACCCTTAAAAAGCTAATGCACCTCACATAACCCCAGCAGCTAACTCAGAGAACGGGACATCCGAGGAAATGTTTATGTTTTCATGGAAGCATAATTATAATGCAGTGACTCTGTGTAGAGCTTAGAGGCATTTGATTCATGTCCACATGTCCGCTCCCCGCCTCCGCCTTCGCCGCCACCCCACCCTACCCCGCCTCTGTTGGCACTGCAATGCCAGCCAAACATCTGGTATGATTATGTAAACAGACAGTTTTTTTTTTTTCTGAAAGCCATGGATTTCTGAGTTCGTCTAATAGGGAAGCGGCTTGCTTTTACTGAGAGAAATGGCTGCCACATTATATCATTTTATGATTTTATGTCACATGGATAAGTCTGTTGTGGTGCTGTAACAACACAAATGAGTTATGGGGATTTTAATGGCGCAATGGCCTTTGATTGGCTGAAGATCATTCCTGTATGCATAAGAGCTCTTTTTAAACTAGGGAAACCATGACACCACAACAGGCAAATCAATTAACTACGGTTTTTAAAGGAACTTTAAAAACTCCATCTCCAAATTTAAAATGCAGTTAACAAGAAAGACGAGAAATACATGAGTAACTCACCTGGTCTTTTCTCATTTCGACTTTTCCGACCCCCGCAGAGCCGAACCTTTGATATCAACACCAGAATCTGCTTCTGGCACAAGGACTTGTTGCTCTTGGGACAGGGCTTGCGCTTGTTGGCGACCGGTCGGTTGGCTTGGTCGTCCTTTACTGCCCGTTTCTGTCTGATGAGAGAGCTGGCGAGAGCTGCCATCTTCTGCCCCCCTCACACCTTTGGGAGGGGGGTGTCTTCTTTCCCTGTGCTCCCTTTGCTGATTTGTCTTTTTGGTTTCCTCAAGAAAACTAGAGTAGGACAGATGTTTGAAGGAAACCCCCAAAGGGGAGATTGGGCAACTAAGTGGGTTAACAGCAAAGAGTTTAACTTGACAGTTCCCTTGGAGAGGGAAGATCTGTAAAATCAGATGTAGTCCACCGTAAAGAGTCCAGTCAAGGACAAAAATAATAAAAATATAAATGTATCGAAGCGCACAAAAATGTACTACAGTCACATTTTTAGAACAAGGTTAGAATTGACTTCTGGAAGGGGGGGAGACGGAGACATGTCTCTAACCCTCTTCCCCACTCATCTTTCACATCAAGAGGTGCCTCACAAGCCAAGTTCAAAATGTTATATTCCCAAATAGCTAACCTACTTTTAAACAGACAAAAGCAAAAGAGAAGGCGCTCAATTTGTGTTACATATAAAAACTCTTCGACTGAAGAAAAGTGAGGTCATCCTGGATGCTAGGAAACTCTGAAAAGCGCAAGAAAAGCCAAAGTGTTTGTCACCCATCGTGCAGTCCACAGAGGTCCAACTTTGCCTCCCATCCGAATGTGGCAGCGCGGAATGATGAGCGGATGGTCCCGGTGGTATTCCGGCCGACTTAAATCCAGAGGTGGGAGAACAGCAGCAGGCGGGACGCTGGGGGTCTTTGTCAGAACAAAGCGGAGACATGGACACAGACAGACGAGACTCCTCTTCTGCCTCCGGATGGCACGCTCCTTTCCCACAGCCCTCACAGATCCCCCCCTCCCCACCCTCGCCTCCTCCTCCTCTGTTCCCCCTCCCATTCAAAGTCAGCGAGCGCTTGCAAGAGTATGTGTGTGTGTGTGTGTGTGGATTTCGGCAGCCACCATCAGTAGAGGTGACATTCATGAGAAAGAGAGAGAGAGAAAGAGAGACGAGGGGTGTGGGGTGTTGTCGATGGGGGAAATACGGGGGAGGCAAGGATGAGGGGAGGCTGTGATGTGTAGGAAAAGAGCTTGCCTAGAAAAGGGATAAAAATGAGGGAGGAAGACGGGAAACAGCGCAAAGAGCACAATTGTGTTATTTTACAGAAATGTCCCCTTAGAAAAAAAAGAAAAAAGGCTTAAATCATTTTGACTGCCAGACTGAAACAGAGGGGGTGGGGTGTACACAAGGAGGGAGGAGAGGACAGAGGAGCAGATTGTGACAATTTTCTGTCTCCTCAAGAGGAACAGCTTCACCCTGCGATACCTTTCCAACACATTCCTGAATCAGAGGGCAGTATCATCGTACAGATATCAATCTCCATCTCCACTTAGTGTTTATCCTAAATTCTCTGACCCTTATTCCCACAATGGTAGCCTTCCCTGTGCTCCATATCCCATTTTGAAGTTAGAGTCAGGATAAATCAAGTGATTTTGCTTCCTGATATCGACCGGTGACTTACCTTAACACTGACAACAGCACAAACTTGGGCAGATCCCGTGTGACAGCTAAGAAAAACAAACACACATAAAAACTCAACACACATCACCCCCTGATCACGTGAGCAACCGGAGAGTAGCAAATTACCCACTCAAAAACAAACATTCACACAGAACGCAACGGAAGGTCTCATGTTAAATTCTCAATACTTCAAGGTCAAACATAATAGATGACTTCAGAAATTCAACCTGAGACCCATCACAAACGCCAGAACAACAAAACGGTGCCCCAAGCCGTCTCACGCCAGCCAGGAGTGGCAACATGGCGGCCAAGAAAGCACAGCAGTCCATTCTTGGTACACAAGACAATTACGCAAGAACTACTAGAGCATGTAGATAATGCTTAATTGACAATATTTAAGAGATCAGGATATTAAAAGCAAATTTTGCTAAAGATCACAACCAGTGAATGTCTTACCGACAGTAGATAGACCACTTGGTATTTTGATTAAATATAAATCCAGACTAGCTCAGGCTAACAGTTAGTCTAGCAGGTGTCAAGATACAAGAAGACCGATGTAAAATAAAATAACTACGTTAAAAACAAACAAAAAAAAAAACCCACCAAAGCAGTCGTATGCTTAAGCAGTATGTAAACAGAATTTAATCAACCTTGCTGCCACATTATTTGCATTGGACTGTTATTTACATAGAAGCTGCTGATTATATACACAGTGGGGGGGGAGTGAGGCAGCGGTGTGCCAGCAATGATCTTTATGTGAAATGTACTTGGAACTGAACATGTAAATCTTTTCCTGTTAGAGCAACGAGCTAATAAAGTGTAAAAATCGATAAAACACTGTTCACTTAAAAGCTGTAATTGTATGGGTTTTACACCACTTCCATTTATTTGAGAACGTTACTCTGAGTTTCCCCTTTTGTGGGACAATAAACACAATTTCTGTTCTTTTCCACTAAAACCAATTTCTGAACAATCTTTTTATGCCAATCTTTAGTTGCCCTGTTTAACTGTCCGAAGCAAACAGGTTTTACATTTTTATGTTTTATTTCCACCAAACAATAGCTGACCAACTAAATAAAAACAATCACAGTCAAGATTCCAAGCAAAATCTTAAATCTTTTGATTAAACAGCAAATGCAGTCCTAGACAAAATGCGAGTACCTCGTTATGGAATCTGATACAGGAAAAAATTGTGCTCCTTCTTGTCCAAACCCTTAAACTACAACCTGATAAATCAGCTTAACGGAGGCCTAATCAATCCCATTTTATGTGGCTTGGGATCACCTTTACAAGCCAATTTCCAAGAGAACCAGCAGCGGGCATGACTTAAAATCACAAGGTCGATCAGAATAGTTTCTAACAATGCCAAATGAGGTCGCCGGCTGTCAACACTTGATTGGCAGGTGACAGCAGATGCTCCATCTCTTTGGGAGGACGAGGGCACGGTGGGGTTAGCAGAAAGGGAGCTGCAGATGAAGGAATTTAATTTGTATTGATGTGGAAACAGTAAAGATTATTTCTTCTCTCTCTCTCTCCCTTTCTAATGACGCCTCCACCCCTCCCTGCCTCCAGTGACCAACCGTCCCCCAGTCACTCACTTGTCTTCCTGCTTTGGGTTGAGAATCAATCTCCTAATGGACATTGCATTACGCACATTGCCAAAAGTTGTTCTCTGTCTTGATTGTTTCTGCTCGCAAGTACACGCCAAGTTACACCAAACGAAAGCTAAGTAGGGACTCTTCAGGCATCAGACTATCTCAAGGTTAAGAAATGTTTCCATCATTCTAATGAAATTTTGCGACAGAAAGCAAGTGAACACATTAAGAATGAAACCGTCTTGTACTTTTCCAAAAGATCAAGAGCAGAGCAGAGCACATGTAACAGCTACAAACTCTGTACAGTGTAAATTATTGGATTTGAGATCAAAATTAGACATGTAAATCTGCCTCAATGCACATCTGATCACTGATCCATTCAGGATATGTGCTACGGCATCCCAAAACTTTGGATAGTCATAATATAAGTCTCTTCAGAATGGAGAAAATTCAGCTGACATCACTTTGAAAGCAAGAAATATAGCAAATTAATATTACATCGTGTGTCTCTACATGAATTGTCTTCATCTAATATTAAAAGGCGATTAAATGAAGATGTTTTGCTAAAAACAACCCATTTCCCCTGCAAGCTCAGAGTATTAGCAGCACATCCTCTTTTAAGGGGCTTAATAATGTAAAATCTGTTCCGTGTCATCCATGTTACCTAACACAGACTTTCTTTATCTTTACTAAATACCATAAACCAGATAGAATTCATGCAGAATTATTTTATTCCCAAATCCTAATGAGAAAACGTTTCTGCTTGTATTTATAGGAAGAAACACTTGCCACATTCTTCTCTTTCTGCCTCAACAAATTAAACCAACACTTGATTTTCAAGATTCACAGATACAAAAAAAGAGAGAAAAGTTTGGCAATTAGTTCAATTTTGATTATGTAACGCCAAAAGGTCAAGTGTTATCTAAGGAAATGCAGTTGTTTCTGATTAATTTGTCATCTAAACAAAATGTGACGAGAGGAAAGGAATACAGGAGCTTGCGTGTGTCACAACCGAGCGTGGAAAAGTTTTGAGAGGAGCAGGGAACTGAGACAAATGAAGTGAAATAAAGCAAAATTAACACAAGAACATCTAAACTATGACTAACATAAGAATGCATTAAAGAAACATGGCGAGCCAAATGACAAAGGACAAAATAATCTCAATACAAGAGAGAATTCTTTCTCAAGAAGAGAAAACTAAACTCAGAAGTTCTATGAATCATCACACAATTGTGTAAATTTACAGTTCAAGGGGCATGACCTTTATTCAACGCTTGGAAAAAAAATAGAGGGTGGGTGCTCTTATGTAAGCATATTAGTTTTTAACATGCTTACCCATAAGGAAACCCCTGTCAATGTACAGATACTCAAGAAAGTGGAAATTATTGTTTTAAGATTTTATGTGATTAATTGTTGCTACACCTAAAAGAAATATGGCGGTAAAGACTCTCTAATGTCACATCGTTGTAATTTCACGTCCACGTTGTCACACTTTACGGCACTTTTCTGTTACATGGTACATTACGGTTCAGCGCTGGTGGTTTTTCTGTGGTACACAGTACCACTTTACTGATACTTTGTGGCAGTTATTTTATCTATTTCCTAGGCCAAGTTTCTGAGAGAGCCGAACCACCGACACGGTGACATGAAAATACTGTACAGCAATATTACTTGTGGGTGAGAATAGCATTTCGGCTGCGAATCAGATAACTTCGCTGGTTGCCTCAGCCACTAAAATAAAGCATAAATCATGGAACGTTTTATTTGTGCCCACGGTTAGAATGTTGTGTGCATGGCTAATGAGTGTAGCGCTGTTGCGAGCTCATTTGGTGCAATAACTACGCCCCGCTCCTACAATCCTCAATCATAAGTCGCTTTGGGTAAAACTGTAATTTAATGTAACAAATAGATGCACATACAGGGATGCTGTATGTCTTACCTGAGCACATCTCTAAATGTGTGGTGATGAAGAAATTGTGCTTCCTAATGATATGGGAGGCAAACTGTCAGCTTAATAAGATGAACCCAGCAAGACTTGCAGAGTCCAATCATCAGATTGCAATGTAATGGAAAAACAGCTTTACATATTTGCTTGGAGTAAGGCATCTTGGATATAATGAGTCATGTTGTTTAATTATTGCAGAGGTAAATGACTCCTTTATGCGGATGTTTTTTTTTTCTTTTATAGCAATAACAGATACAGCAAAACAGAGCAATACTGTTTCGTAGTATTTTGAACAAGGTTTGATCTGTTTAATACTCAAACAGACATAATTTTAATGTTAAAGGTACATCCTGTGTGGACTCCATTTTGAAATGTGCTATTGGTAAATCTATTCATGACCATAATTTCAACTTGGATATTTTGTCAAGGTTTAGAAGAGTCATATAGACTTTTAAGTAAGGTCTGTAAAAAGACGGACCTAAAGAAGGCATCAACTGAATAGTAAAAATGAAAAAGTGCAAAGAAAGCATGTCATTTTTTTCCCCACTTATGGCATTACAATACAGAGATACATAGATGTGTACAGTACACATATGAACAGCGCTGACAGATGGAATCAAACATTTGCATTTTAAGAGTCATTTAACAATCAAGCTGTGCGGGATGTGATCTAACAGCAAGACGCCTCCTCTGTACAAATGGCCAAATTTAAGTTTGTTGCCATAAGCCAAATGTCATAATGAAGGAGACAAAC